CTCAACCTCATATTGCTCAGTCACTTGCAGATTTTTCTGATGCAAATTTCTCAAAGAAGCAAATCCAGCAATTTCTCGGTATAGTCAACTACATGAATGAATTTCTCCCAGATATTGCCCAGCTCACATATCCACTCAGACAAATGCTCAAAAAAGAACCTCCCACGTGGTCTCAGATTCAGACAAAAGCAGTACAAGCCTTGAAGATAAAAGCAAAGTCACTTCCCACTTTAAAGATTCCTTTAGATGGAAAAAGAATATTACAGACAGATGCTAGTGAACAATTCTGGTCAGTAATTCTTCTTCAAGAAAAAGATGGAACCAGACAAATCTGTGGTTACAAAAGCGAAAAATTCAAAGATTCGAAACTCCATTATCACTCTACACTAAAAGAGATTTTAGCTGTAAAGTATGATATCCAAAGATTTGAATTTCACCTCATTGGATTTCACTTTCTCGTGGAATTAGATATGTCAGCCTTTGATCAGATGCTCAATTTCAAAAAGAAGAAAATGCCAAATGCACAGTTACTCAGGCTATCACAGTACTCTTTCACCACTAGGCATATAAAAGGAAAAGACAACCTCATCCCAGACATGCTCACAAGACCTCCTTCGAAACCTCCTTCAAACACTTTCCAGGTTATTCCAATCTTTTGCATGATGTATTTCTTGCTTTTACCTTTACCCTCTTTTGACCCTGTTCCTCAAACGATCACCAATCTTTTTCTCTTCCCTTACCTTTACACCCCGAAATACAAACCCTTTGTTCCAGATCCAGATTTTCAATCAATTTTTCCAGTTCATAACCTACCTTCTGAAATCCAGCAGATCATTGCCAAAAAGACACTTGAAAGACATGCTCATGATCTCATCTACAAAATGCAAGCTATTCTCATCAGAAAATGAGGTGATCATGATCTCAGACCCATTGGTTTTCATCCTCATTTCCCTTTTCTACACCTGTTTCAGATCCCTCATACCTCAAGTTTATTCAAAGAAGCCTTAGTTCTTTTATGGTATTTATGCCAACTCTACACCATTGCCATTGAGTTTAACTCTTTTGAACTCAACTTTGCCACAATCACTTTCACTAATAATGACTTCTTTTATGAAGCTCATGTTCATTTATGAACCTTTTTGAAGTGGTTTAAATCCCTTCATACTTGGTTTTCTCTCACCCAACACTTTTCTTCCCATTACCATGTTATCTTCTTCTTCCACCGACCTTGTGACCTTTCTGAAGATTATGTTTTCTTTCAACCCCGTTCAGACATGTATGTGTGTAATCCCTACTCTCTGTACAACTCTATCGTTCTCTATGCTCATGAATACAAGCTCCTGTTAAAAAGACTCTACAAAATCAACAACCTCCCAGTCCCTGCAGAACTTCCTCCTTTCAAGAAATAACCATGGTGGTGGTGCCCTCCAGAATACATCCAAGAACTACACATTCACCTGGCACATTGGATTCGTGAACCACCTTATGACACTTGGTGGAGTGATTTATCACACAGACTTGTTAATTTTGATCTTCACTGTCCTTTAGAATTAGCAGAACTTCCAACAAATCCTTACTGGCAGAATGATGAAGATCTCTCCAGACTTCGAGCAAGATTTGAACACAAAATTTACAATCACTTATTCCAATGTTGTGATTCTACTCCTGATAATTTTGAACAAGAACTCTTCCGATGGGTAGATAATTCTCTAGTCCTTCAGTACTTTGAAGATTTCTCAGAAATTTCCCAGAATAATGGACACTGATGGTGCTACAAGACAGAAGATTCTCTCTCCAGTCCAAATATTGTATAATTACGCGTGTTAATTTCAGTTTTCTCCAGAAGACTCTATAGAAGTTGATAATGATGCCTTCACATCAAGACAACCTTATGTCAAGTCTTCATCACCTTTATGTCTTAGTCAAGTCATAATGTATTTTTGTATTTTAGTATGAGTCATAGTGCTTAGTCACTGTACCTTAAGTGATGAATCACTATACCATAATAATGGACCTTTGTACCATAGTTATGAGTCATTGTACTTTAGTTATGACTCACCGTCCTTTAGTCTTATCCTAAGCCACTTGTAAAGTTACTTTGTCCTAGTCTTGTCTTATTAGGCTACTAATCCTTTACTTTTTCATGTATAAATAGAATGATACTTCTCTAGGAAGTAATCATCTAAGAATCGAGAAAAATCATCTAAGAATCGAGAAAAAAAAAATCAAAACCCCTCTCTTGTAAGAAAACCTTCCTTTATAAAAATATGTTTGGCTAAAAACCTCTCTTCTCTTTTGGTGATTCCATCTTCCTTTTTCATAGTTACATCTTTTCAGCTTCATCCTTCTCTTCAATCTATTCAAAAGTTTGCAGTAATACAAGTTGAGTATGCTTTGCAGTTGTCATATTATTATGGATCCTCTGTAACAGAAACTCTTGTTAATCTGTTAAACAGATCATTGATCCCTTTTTCTTCAGCTAAAAGAAAAGTCATACCCCCCCAAGATCATACTAATAGTAAGTTACTATAGTGAAAGACATATCTCCATAAAAGTCAGGCCCCCAGTTCGACGTTAGGCCAAGAAGGCGCCAGAGTCTTGAACACCGGCTAGAATACCTTGGTTATATGTCTGATCTATGGAAAGCTTATGGTTAGTATTATCTTGTCAAGTTTGATCGATCTTCACGCTGTTGTCATAGTACCAGATAGTATTGTCAGGACTCTACCACCCGGAGAGCCCGAAACTGAAGCCGTGTCAGTTGCCAGAGCCTTGACCGTACTACCTGCCGCTGTATGTATAATGGTATCAGAGCTATTAAAACACGCTGTAAAAACAATTAAAGTAAGTTTCTATATTTCTTTGTGTTGTATGTTGGTCACTCGAACAATATCTTGACCGTCAAATTAATGTTTATTAATTGTTATAATAATAACCACTTCAATTGATTCAACATTTAATTAATATCAAATAAATTAATTAATCACATCAGCACCAACACACTATAAAAAAAAAAAAAAAACCAAAACACAAATATTTCATTTTGTACCCTTCACATTTACTTCCAATCCCTCTTATCTGCTTTCTACTTCTTTACCTTTTCCTTCTTCTACACTATTTTACGTGTTATATTTTGCTGACATGAGCATCATAATACGTATCAGAGTCTTATCTTTGGCGCCCCTAACCATTTTTTCTTTTATTACAAGTCACTCTAACTTCCGAATCAACCGCCTAACAAGCTTCCAACAAGTATCCAGTTACCAAACCCAATAAACCACCAACACTTTTCAAAAGCAGTCATCCATATAGGTTTACATTACACTTCTTTTACACAAATTGTAAGTTTTTCACTTGAAGTTATTAGAACTGCGCGCTTTATCTCATGGAAAGATGAGTAAAAGGTAAAAGATTGTTAATTCCTATACGAATCAAAGTCCAAGTTATTATGTAGAGAAGAGAGAGACTAATACATACAAGTAAACACAGGTAAGCAAACCAGAAAAATTATCTCCAAAACTAGCCAGAAATATCATTTAATGTAGTGCATGCTTCAATATTTGTGATATTGAAACTCTTTGAGTCAGACTCTAAATACCTTTCTCAGTTCTCTAAATTATCCCATAAAATTATAAACCCACCCATGTAAGTTGCTCTATAAAAAGAATTCCCTTGGTGGAAAAGGTTTTGTACTTCTTTCCATCTTTTGTTTAAGTTACGACTACCAAAGAAAAATGACAAAGACCTCGATATTTTTCTATGTAGGAGATACATCTAATTATCACTCAAACTTTGGAAATTATGATTTTGTTATTAATTTACGAGATATAAGTTATTTTTTTTTATTTGAGATCTTTAGAGATCTGATAATCACTTTAAACTTCGACTAATTCGAAGTTGCATCGAGTTAAACCTTATAAGAAAGTCAAGCTCTCTCAAACATATTTTTTTCATTTTTAAAATTTGAAGTCGAAATTTTACTTAAAAAAAACCAATTTTTTTGTCAACAGATATTAATTACAAGATATAAGTTATATATATATATATAAAACGTTACTCAACGTAAATACTCATATTTGAGTATTTTTGATAAAAAAAATATTCTTGCTATATAAATTTATATTTTATATTTTATCATTGAATTCTTCTGAAAGAACTAAAATTCATTATTAAAATAATGGGTCTATTAAAATTTTAAAACAAGCAAATTATAATTAGGTGATGTGAAACAAATGTTCGATATAATCTTTTCTATTCTCCAATTAGGGAATTGGCATTAATGCAAAGTTTTCTTTATCATTTGTAGTAAATATTTTAGGACATGTTTGAGAGAATTACACGTTATTTATGGATTGTTTTACTTAAACTAACACATAATTTCATTGATGTGGAACACATATTTCCACTTGCTTTGTCTTACTCTTACATATATGTCGGGACTCGGACAATACTAATCTGAAACTGGATAAAAAGAATATTAGGTCTAATCATACCAATAAGATAAAAAAAAAAAAAAAGTTTTGGATTTATTGAGAATTTTGGGTAAATGTTTCTAATATAATAAGCCCTCATTTGGATGTCGATGGAAAAAGATTTCCGCCGCATCTTCCCGTCGTTTTGAAATCATATGTTTAGTTTATAACATGAGAATATTAAAAAAAAAAAGTATAACTTAAGTTTTATTTTCCTATTTAATTTTTTTTTCTTGTCTTTGCAAATTTGGCTCATTTGACGTGATTAACATTATCCTTTTTCACATATCATGCAGTTCATATATGTTCCAATTCCAAAAAGAGTTGTATTTTTTTTAGGTATAAATTTATACATTTTACTATAATGCAAATATCAAATGTGTGATTAATTCAAAGAGTATGATAAATTGAACTCTTTCTCCATCAAAACTATATCATGGAATTCTCCTTGCCTATGTTTTTCAATTTTGTTCTTTTTTCTTACCCACTATGCTTCAGAAATCAACGCAAGTTATTTTAAGGCTTGAAAAGCTATGGTTTCAACAATAGCTTGAAGTAAATGTTGATACAAACTTCCATAAGATTAAATGGTAAAAAAGAAAGTGGTAAGAAATGGTATATTCTATGAGTTTGGTGGAATTTCTAAATGCCACATCACGAAATACTACAATGAGTAATGTTTACATTGTAAAGGAGGATATAATGTACCTCATACTGATACGTGTGATTCACCAGAAGAAACTTAGCTTTTCTATGGGAAGGACTACAAATGTTACATCGTACCATATTTTCTTTCACTCGGTGTCCATGTTCCTTGAGCAGCAGCAGTAGCAGTAGCAGCAGCAGCAGGTGGGCGCTCCCAGAAGACTTCACTGGCAAAGCTGGCATTAGGATCCTCTGCACGTGAGTAGCCTTGCCCTGCTCCACTTACCTATGATAGGTAATTTGAACATTAATGGGCGGAATCCATGCAGAGAACTACTTAGTTATTGAATTGATTTAAGCTGCCTACTTTGCAAGGTCAAAATGTATCTTGCAAGGGAAAAACGAAACTGAGTTAAAGAGGCCACGACAAGAAGTCATTTCAGTAGCTAAGCCTAAATATTACTTTGCTATCGTATGTAAAAAAATCCCAAAACTAAACAGTATGCAAGTTGGCTATCAGGGTTGTATTAGAATTCTCTGAAGCGGCTATTATTAGCATGAAAAGAAGTTCAAGAGTTTTAGCAACATTGTTCACCCCAAAAAATTCCATAAACTTACAGTCTCTAGACAGGCAGAAAGAATTGTCATGCCCGGCAGTGCATCAATTCCACGCTGGATCCAAAAAGTAAGATATAAATAGGTGCTTGCAGGCATAAATTTTTGTAAGCCATCAGAAAATACAAAACTATAGAGTCTAAGCAGCGCACCTGGTGTTCCACTCGTGTCTTGTAAATAAATCCTCCACAACAGAACAGAGTTGATGAAACCATGAATCTGCTCAAGAACGCATCCATTTTATTAAAAAAATCATGGGCACAACCCTCACAAACAGTAAATTTCAGAACCAATAGAAAGAAGTCAATTTTTTTGTCTATCTGCAGTGACAAACATTAATGCCGTAGATAATAGATATTTCGAAAGGCTTTCATGTACAAATCATAAGTGCCAAACCCCAGGCCATACAGAATGGTTTAGGGTAAATAAGATAATTAATCCGGTGGTACAAACTTGTGCCAAACACTGCATCTGGTGCAGATGATATTTTAATCACTTGATTTCACATATCTGAACACATGTAGGACAAATGAAAAAACTTCAGGAGGTTGCCATACATGCAAGAAGTTATTCCAAATATTGCCCACCCTCCTGCAGCATCTCCTTCCTGATTTTGTGTGTATTCTGCAAATATTGAAAAAAAAAAAAATCAGCTTGAAAGTAGCTGATGGCAAGTTCTATGGAAAATGCATCACTATTACCAGAAAGCTACTTCAACAGATTCCAGAAATATCATTATTGATAAAACCTACCATTGAAGAAAACAAAATTTGGGAGCTTACCACACGTCTTTGTTAGAACAAACTCGATTGATTCATAACCCTCCACTGGGATAGTGATGTTAATTTCGTATGGGGTATCATGGGCCTTCACACCTGAAGGATAAAAGCGGGGAAAAAATGATTACAGATGGAAATTCAGAACATTATAATTGAAAATAACATCATCCTCCTCAAGAAAATGATGTACATACATCTCCAATCTAAAATCAAAGTTGAGGGTGACAGAGTTGTAGGTGGCTTCCCAGTTGTCCCTGTTCCTGATAGTTTAACCTCCAGCCCATTTTCTGGAAAGACCTGAGAAGGACCACATGCAAAGAATGATAAGGTAATAAGCATATTCATTCAATAATCACAGTTTTCTACCCCTTGAGCTGACTGGAAATGGTACCTTGATGAGAGGTTTTTGCACTAGGTTGGATTGAGATGCAATTGCAGTCAGATAAATGGTAACATGAGGCTGTTCAGTGCTGAAGCTGTTCACCAAAACTTTTCAACTTCAAAGATTATTCATAAGATGCTAATCACAATTAATTAAACTAAAATAAATCAAATTCATTCACTAAATGTGAGAGAATGGAGATTGCTACTCATAAAAGTGATACCATACCTAAAGTCATGGCAAGATTTTTCAAAACCCAACTGAGTCAGACCATTGTAAACCTTCAAATCAATAAAATGCAACTATTTTAATCAGATAATCTCTGCATAAAAATCAAAGTAGATCAGTTATGACACAAATTCTTACAATTTCCCATGATCGTGGATGAAATCCAACAGTGAAGCCCTCAAATACCCGTGGGCCTGGTTTCTCACATGGAATGGCCAGTTCAGCAATGGCTCTGAGAAAAATATAAGTAACAAACATATAGATATATGCTGCAAGATAAATTTCAATCAATTATTTGAAGTTGGATGCAAACTGTCTAATAAAACGATTTGTCTTGTGGTTTGGCACCAGGAATAACAGCTCTAGATTGTAACATAACATTTCACTCTACACTGCACCAAACTTGAAAACAAACGTTTAGAGAAAATGAATGAAAAAGAGAGAAAGAAAGAAGTTATAATAATGCTTAGAATACCTGCAAGTGGATTCATATGTGACATTGCATATGCATCCAAGTGGATCTGAGATTAACAACAAAGACAATGACAAAAGTGTTAAAGCGTGATACAAAAGAAAGCATTGGCAGTAAAACTTACAAGGCAAAACAGGGATGGATCCATAACAAAATGATCCAAAGTAATAAAAGCCTTCCCTGATAATTTGGGGTGAGAAACGAAGATTTCAAAAAAATTCATTGGCAATTTATATGGACACAAAAGTCAAAGAGAGAAAGAAAAGAAAGAAATTTAGAGATTGAGAAATGCAATGAAACGATGTTATCATACTTTTTAGGTTTTTAATTTTACATAATTGGCTCAAGCACTTTGACGTCATGTCCAAAATGTCATTTATTTGCACATCCAGGTCTCAATAAAGGTTATGTGATAACTGCATCAAATTGAGAGTTGATTGTCACCATAAAACTCAAATTACTTCCTACACATGTTAATGCTTAAGGGCTACCTGAAAATAGTTAGCACCAATATGGAAGATCTCACATTAACCAGTAGAAGCTGAGGGAAACATTATTGGGTTGAGAGGGTGGATGGTCATTTTAACCCATTTTGGTTTGAATGAGAAATTACTTAATAAACAGAAATATAGGACTTCACTTTGTTAAACGTAAACCATAAACAAAAAAATAAACAACTCAATCCACTGCCAGAGATTTGAATGCTAGAAAGACCATTTCCACCTTCTAGAGCTAAAATACTTGAAAACAATTGCCTAATCAAGCTTTAGCTCACTTGTTAGGAGTTTTATGCTTTGTCAGCATTCAACGATTAATCTACAACATGAGATGGTTGCAGCGTAACTCTAATTATTAAGAACATCGTCAACCTCCACTATCTGCTATTATAACATCTAGCCGGCAAAGTCACAATTCACTATATCCAATTAATTGCAATTTTCACATGGTATCTATTAAGCAATTAAATGCCAGTCAAGACCTTTCATTTTTGACCAAGGTTTTCTATCTAGTCCTGGCTTGTTACAAGCTTTCCGCAGAATTTCCGTCACTATTAATCATGTCATTCAGCTTCCCAAATCTCTCTTTGTCATTTCTGCTCAAAGCAAGAAGAGATAGGGTTTAAGACACCATATGAACTTATGAATTCTCAAACAATCAGAGATGGGAGATATAAATTCCAAGTATATACAGCAACAAGCTCTTGAAGACTTGATAGGAAGAGTTCACACACCTTTGCATTGCCCATTTAAGCAGTTTCCACATATAATATTTACCTGAAATACAATCAAAGAGAGTCATTAGCACATAGGCAAATCCATGAGGAAGTTGAATGTTGAAATTGACATCATTAAAGACTTCCCAACAAAATAGTAACTTCTAAGAAAAGAATGTCAAACAATTCCCTTAAATTTTGACAAAGAAACAGTAGCAATAGACCAACCTGTGCAGTGCGTCCCATTTTGTCAAAGGTGTGCTCACAATGCAGCAGGTCACCAATGTAGTACTCCTATACACACAGAGATATTAGATTTAGCAGGTTATATATCTATATGAATCAATATTACAGTGAAAAAAATTCAAGAGGGTTTTTGGCATAGGGCAAAATATTGCATTAAGCAGGCAAACACTCTTTTTTTTCTTCAATCTCGGGAGGCTTATAAATACAACAATGATAACAAGTGAATTCATAGCTTTTTTGACACTTCATCCATTGACATATTAGATTTAAGAAGCATAAGAAACTGATGAAGTAGGAGCCAATGACACTTCCATATAGCCAGCTAAGAGGCAGCTACAATGTCTTGTATTTAAAACTTTTATATAACAGCAATAAATTGAATTTAAGGGCCAGAATCTTCTAATAAATCTATCTCTTTTTCCACCACCAATAACAGCCAAAAAGTACCTACACTAACATCATAGCAATCATTCATTCCCATTGAGCAAGTAGTGATTTAGAGTACCCTAGTTCGTTTATAGTTACTACTTCACAAGCAAGCAGTTCGAAACCTATGAATGAGTCAGATATGGGTATACTCAAGTTTTTCTAAGTTTTTTCATAATTTGGAGGGTCATACCTCTATACTCTTGTCTGGATATGTGTTGGACATGGATAGTACTTTAGGGAAAATGAAGAGTCGGAGCAACATAGCCAAACAGACTTACTTGAACAAGGTCAACATGCCCAGAACCAGCAACAAAGTAGTTAGACTTATCGAATCGACCAAAATCTACATATCCCTGCATGGTTGTTATTATTATTACACATGACATGAATTAGACTCAGAACGCTTTATGGTCATCAAAATATTAAAAAGAAAAAAGAAAAGAAAAGATAAGCATGTTTTGTGGGCAGGAAAGTGCAAATCAGTACTTTCAGCTAATTAAAAACATTTTTAAAATTGACTTATCAAAGGACTTCCTCATAAAAGAATAACATATGAGCACATTGATTTAGTTCTTAGGGAAATAAAGTTATGGACTACCATTTTTGATCTACTCTCTACATCTTTGCAAAAGCGGATCACAAAGTCATTGTCCTGCATCAAGAGAAATACAAATATGTAATACGCTCAGCACATGAATATTTGTAAACAGTAAATAAAGCATTATCACCAAGAGAAATTGAAGACTTTCAATATTTGAAATCATTCAAGGATGTTACCTTCTCCTCATAGGTAAAACGAACTCCGACCCAATCACTCTAGTCAACAGCTTAAGAGAAAACAATTTCGCTCGAAACCAAAGCCCTGGTTCATGTAACTTGCAATTTAAACTATAAACGCTCATTCAAAATCCAACCAACGATTCAGACGTCTATGTGAAATTTACAACAACAACAAATCAAAGTAACAGGATACGAAATCAAAAAGATGGCTAGTATTATCAAACGCATAGCAATTGGATGATGGGACAGCAACTGAGGTAACTGTAAGTGCTTGAGAAAGAACAGCTGCAAAGGCAACAGATTCATTTCCATTAAACAGTTTGATATTGTTAAAAGAATATTGCATAACAGAATCAAATAGGAAAATTACCTGCCACTGCTATGAATACGAAACCAGCATTGCTTTTTACACTCAGCATTGCTTCGAGTATTCAACCAAGCATGTCCTTCGAGATTAAGCTACTCCCAGTATAATTTATATTATCAGAAAATTATTTCAAACTCTTTTGAAGTTCCCAGTAAGATTCTTTGAAGCAAAGTGAATCTAATTAGAAAAGGAAATACAATTATCGGAACTTTGAAACAAATATTTTTGGATTAATCCAGATTTTCATATTCTACTATCGTTCTTTAAAAAAGAAAAGTCAATGAAGAGGAAATAGCAGAGAAAATACCTGAATAACTTGAGCGGAGTGTCGATGCTGAATGTTTTGAGGAGAAAGAAGGGACGGAGATATGGGAAGGAGTTTAAATGTAGAAGCGAAGCTACCAATGATTGCAATTTGTCCAACGGGAAACTGACAGACGTTGTTTCCACCGCAATGTTTTTGTAAGTTTTGTAGTATTAGTAGACTTCTTGGCGGAATTACAAAATGGAGCAATGGACTAAAAATATTTTGTCATGATCATAAATAATTATAGGAAGGAAATGAAAATTATTTTGAAACTTCTAAACATACCCCACTTTTTACTTTTCACACTCTACTTTTTTTATCAAAATTTTTGTAAATAAAATTACTTAATTACTATTTTCACAAGTTATTAATAAATATATCCAATAAGTTTTATAACTTATCAAAAAAATAAATAGCATTCATGGTCCCTAAACTTTGGATTAAATTTTATATTGATCCTTATATTTTAAAAAATTTTAATTAAATCTTTAATTGTCCAAACGTATATCAATATTGTTCTTCTATCTGCTAGATTATTTAAATTGATTAAAAATCCAACATGATATGACACATAACCTTACAAAATTTTATTACGTTAAAATTTTTAATATCCAATAAGCAAATCATAAAAGACAAAAGACTAAAAACGAAATTTACACCAACTAAAAAAAAATGATGTTGTCAAAATATTTTGCAATTGAAATATATGATATTAAAATAGAAAAACACCCTAAACATTCATAATCTTTTGCAAAAGACTCATTTTGGGTCTTAAAGAGAAAAGCACACCTATTTTTCAGGTGTTAAAGAGGAAAAGAAAGGGAGTTTCAAAAAGAAGGAGCTTTGGATTGAAAAAGAGGTAGTGAGGATTGAAAGGAGTAGTTAAGGGTTGAAAGGGATGAGTTAGGGTTTGTCATATGCAAGACATAGGCTTGTTACCTATTTGTTATTGTAGTCAACAAACTCGAATTAGGATATCATGGGCTAACTCTAACCCATGTCGAAGGTTTTTCAATTGTAACAACTATAAGGTAAGAACACAACATTTTTTTTTTTTGGTTTTATCATTAATTGAATTATGGGTTTTATAGATAAAGTATGGTTTAGGGCTTTGACAACACAAAAATGTTACATGGATTTTGAATACAGGTTTAGAATATGTGAACACAAGTATTGGTTTTGAATTTTGTAGATATTTAAGAACAGAACAAATTAATGTGTATTATTTTGAATATGGGTAGCAAGTAACAACAATAGGTAGCAAATTAGTGTTTTTATGATTTTTATTTTTTTAATTAAATGTATTTTTATTCTTTTAATTTGATGATGATTTTTGTTTAATTTTACAGTAACTTGATGCATACGGGTATTTTCAATGGTATGATCCTCCAATAGATGAACACAACAAGGCAATTATTTTAGATTTATTAAGGAGACTACGAAGAAGAGAACACTAAAATCAAGTTTTTCTAAAGAATGCAAACAACAACAATTACAATCGCAAGAATAGAAATTGGAAGTGGACCACAATTTGTTTGCTTGTTATTTTTATGTTATTGTTGTAAAAAAAAATGAACAAAGTTTAGTCTAGTGTTTAGGAGAATTGGCTTGTAATATGTATGCTATCGATTTTGTGTAATATGATTATATTTCTAAACTTGCAGATTTTATGTAATACGATTATATTTGTGGACTAATGCAAGTTTGTTATAATTATAGTAATTGTCTATGAAAATAGAAACACCCTAAAAAAGAAAGTTTTAAATTTAAGTTGTAAATTTGTGTTCATAGCAAAATCAATGGAATGATATTGACATTTTCATTTACAATGAAAATAAAACACAAATTATGAAATTCCATACAAAACAAAACACAAGTAAATAGCATTTTGTAAGAAGTTTATTATATTTCACCTGGCTAGCAAATACCATACATATAGGTTCATAATTTCATTTCCAATGGCAACAAAATATAAGTTTTGTACACTTCTATGCAAACAAGTTCATATTCTAAACTGGCTACACTGAAATTGGCTAGCAAAATAACATACAATGTTAAAAAAAAGTATTGTATGGACATAAGATATAAAGTAAACTTGCTATACAAATTTTGGTCCAAATTATAAAGTCATTCAAACAAAACAAACTTCATTCACCATATAAACTTCTAACAAAAAGATATGAAGTCAATCAAATAGTAGTCATTTTTTTAATGAGAATGTTGTTCTAGACACCATGTTGCCTGACCACAAGTTTCTGACTAGCATGCTTGAACAAAGTTTTCATATACCTTGATGCAACTTCCTTCTCTTTCTTTTGATGGTTTGATGAGAGGTATTGATATATTTGCTACTTCTAGACTATATGAAAAAGATGTTAAACCCTAAATTGCACACAAAAACAAAAATTACAAAAGAACATCTGGGAGTAACCTTCAAGCTAACCAAAAACCAAATTTATTGTTTACATACTTCATTAGAAGCTGGAGTCAGTGTAGGATTGAACACTATACTTTGTGTATCACTTTATGAATATTGTGTACCTAATGGTGGATTGTTATGATGTATTGTCTAATTTGAATCCTTAAATGTAACAAACCATAATGTTTAGACAACAGTAATATATATAGCTAAGACACTAAAACTAATATAAATATAAATACTTACATTATGCATCCATCTAAGTGTTACATCATGCAATGAAACTGACTTTTCTTGCTGTTGGTGGTTTGATTTTGGTATTTCTTACTTTTAGACAAATATGCGATGTTGGCTAGATTCGGATATTCCTTATTGTTAGATAGAGAAAAAAATGGAAATAAACAATATCAATTCAAGATCATTTGAGAAACAATAATATTTACATAAAAAATACAATTGTAACTATTAGCTACATTTGATTGTATCTTTGGAATGTTTTTGCAAAACCTTTTATTGTGACCTTTCTATCCACATATTAAACATGACATTGTGACTTATGTTTTTTAAACTTTAGCATCTATGGTCCTTACTTCATCAGGTTCTTTTCTTTTCTTAGTTTTAGGTTTACCAAGTTATTTCATTTGCACCTCTAGAGGTTTTGGCTTGTAGTCAAATAGAGGCCAACAATTCTCACTATTTATTGGATTAATGACTTATTTGTAAATCTTTATTTACCTGCCAATAATGTAATATTTATGCACATAGTTTTAAGCTTGCTCTTTGTTAAACAAAATTGCACAAATTGCATGTGGGCAAAGAATACCCGAGAACTTCCATTTCTTGTAACTACATAACTATTCATCTAGGTCAACTATGTAATGGTCTATTAGGCTTTTTATTTCAAATGTTCTTAGTGTAGATGGTTATGGCTAGTACCTCTCAGACAATTTTTTCTTATCAAGTTTCTTCTAAATCTTTGGACAATCAATTTAGAATAATTCTCCACAACATTCCTCTTCACATAGAATCTATTCATCATTTTGCTTCTAATTGTTTTGCATATAGTCAGAGTTGACTTGTCTCTAACATCCAAAATGTCTTTGTCGAAATACTCACATAAGTTGTTAAGTAGAATATCACATCTAGGGATTGTGCTGAAATAAGACTTCGACCATTCCTGTGTTAGCCTTTTCGAAAGCCAAACATATGTGTCTAGATGCTTATCATTTAGCTTATCCATGATTGCATTAAATTCTAACACGTGGCTTACCCTTACTATAGCTCATAAAGCATCCTTTAAAGCCTTCCCTTTATGGCCATCATTTTGAAAGTTGTTGTATAAATACCACGCACAACATATATGCCATGATTCTAAGAATAGCATTTTGAATGAAGCTTTTAACTTTATGATAAAAGACAATTGATTAGATAATATTTGACTTGTTACATAACATAATAAATAAATAGAATAAATAGCACCTGTGGACCCTAAATTTTGGGACAAATTTTAGTTTGGTCCCTAAATTTTAGTGACCACAGGTATTATTTACTTTAACAAATATATAAGTTCAACCATAATCATATAATTTACCTTTTATTTGTCAAACATCCAAGTCCAATTGTATTAATTTTTCATCTTCAGATCCTCTCTCAACCTTTCAATGAACCAAGTCTATGTTTTAGTATTTTCATTTTCTACCACAGCATATGCAATAAGGTATATGCAATCTTTAGCATCAACCTTACAGCAATTATTGGCCTACAATAATCAACTTAAGTAGCTCATGCTTTCAGACAAATATACATCATTTGAAAAAAACTACCATTTAACTTACATAAAATAGTGGATCTTTAGTTAATTTTTTTAATTTTTTTTGCATAGCTCGTTATTTTGGAATATTGTTCCAAGTAAATTCCATTAAGTTTATTCAAAGCCAATTATTTTGACCTTCATAACTTTGACCTAGGCATAATCAACATATAGTCTTTATACATTTGCCTCTCAAACAAAGGCAAAGAATGATTTGGATCAATAAGGAAACGTTCCATATACCTATCTGCCAACCACCCATAATTCATATTCCTATCGGCATCTCTTTGCAACAAGAATGGTTGGACTTGTAAGTTCTAATTTGAAAGGTAGGGTCTCCTAGTTCATACCTAAATTTCTTACGATTTAATGTTCATTCACACCTTTCTTTGCATACAACCCTCAGTCTTAGTTTGTCACTTTTCTTAAAACTAATGTTCACCCTATCCTTGATGTTAACATTTTTCACAGTATCTTTTAATTGCTTCTTATCCCTAAACAACATTCCAACACAGAATATGGGGTTATCAATATTAGTGTTTTGAAATTCAAGCCATTTATTCCTATCACCATCATTATAAGACCCTATCAATACTATAAAGATCATCATTAAAATTTACTTATAATTCTTCTGTCTTTTCATAGCCACTTTCTCCATCATTTTTAATGTTAGGATCAATAATTTTTAAAATTCATATCATCTTTATCCTGATCCAACTTATACTTACTATTCGTATAGTCAAAGTCCTTACTCTTAGTTTCATTTTCATTAGATACATTTTTATAAACTTCTTTTGTATTAGGCCCTTTTTGCACTGGTACTAGGACTCTGTGTATTACACTCAACATAAACCCTAAACTGTTGCTAAGCAATGTATTTGCTTGGAGACATATGCTAACACAACTCCATCACATTAGCATCAATGGTAATTTTTACTAATCTATGTTGTCTATAAGGCTTTTTTCAAAAATACATATTACTTTAATATGCTTTACC